ATTAGGTATGACTAAATCAAATTAAATTTAAATGATAATGCACATTATATTAAATTAAATTAATAAAATATAAAGTTATAATAAATTAAATTTCAAAAAGTAAATGAAAATAAAATAATTAAAATAAAATGTGATAAAACCAAGGTTTTAAATAGCGGGCTAAAACGTTTATGGCACTGTAGCTATAGCGGAGATTTAGCAGGATTTAGCGGGATTTAGCGGCTAAATTGCACATGAATACAAATAGCGGCACGCTGCCAAAAAAGTTATTTCTCAGTTAGCGGTAACTTTAGCGAGCTATTTATTTCCTTGGATAAAACCTATTATAGTAGAATGATTAAAAATAAATTAAATTTATATATTTATTATTTATTAAATAAATTTAGGTATATAAATTTGGAAACAAAAAAAATAATAATGTAAAATAAACTAAAAAAACTAAAGTACACCAATTAAAATATAATAAAATTAAAATAAGATAATAAAGTATAAAAAAAGGTAAAGTAAAATCAAAATAAAATAAAATAATAAATATAATAGCTTATTATGAAACATTGATTTAAAATCAATAAAAATTTAAACGAATATAATGAAATATGAAATATTATATATCAAATATTATTAATATGTTTTACTCTAACATAAAATATGAATTTAAAAAGTTATATATTTTAATTATCTTAATTTATTTTATTTTCTTTTAATTTTATATTATTTTATTATAATTTTATACTTTATTAATTTAATTTAATAAATTTGACTTTTGCTCCTTCCCAATTTCACGTGGTTGACTTCTTCTCAGAAAGTCTCCCAACCAGAGAAGACTTCCATTGAAAACAAAAGATATTGGCATGTCTTTTTATATTGCTCATTTTTATGTCTCATAATTGTAATTGTCATAACTTTTTTTAAAATAATTAAATAGAAAATATCTGATTTAAATAACATGTCTACTTCTTGTTTAGCCTATTTGTGTTTCGGTAGATTAAGCCAATGTTAAAAGAACCGGATCGGACCGGCCGGTCAGACCGGTTCGACCGTGAACCAATTAGTATACCGGTCCGGGTTAAGGTTTTTAACTAGACGTTTGCTTTGGGTGTTTGATGTTTGTCATTCTTAGTTTTAGTACACAAAATCTAAATTAGTGAAAATGAAGAATATTTGAGATAACATATAATAAATTGATATTAGAACTGCAAACGAACCAAATGGTTGGTGACCCGCTGGCGCACGCTCGGGTCAAAACTCGACTCGAGTTTGACTGAACTTGAGTCGAGCTCGAGCGACTCAAGCATGTTAGAGAGTCGATCTCAAGCATAAGTTTTGGAAGGTGAATTACTAAAATACTCCTTGTGTATAATACTTTATGGTAGTTTTACTTAATATTTGAGCCGAGCTCAAACAATCTTTCGAGCAGTTTGATTTCAATCGATCTAGTTCTGAGCTCGAGTGATTGTCTTATTTTGTCGAGCCAATCTCGAGCGTCATAAATCGAGCTCGAGCTAGAGCAGGTAATAAAAAATCAATCTTGCTCGATAAAGTCAATGCTCGGCTTGTCTGCAGCCCTAATTGATATTGCCCATCCTGTTTCAATTGGTTGAATTTGGGTGGATAAAAAGGTAATAGAAATTACTAAAAAAAGTAAGAGAAAAAACAAAAGTAAATTTACTTATATCTTTATTCTGATACAAAAATTGAAAGATGTTAAATATCCAACAAGCACAGCCACCATCTAATTGGAGGCCTTTTGTCACAATTAAATTGCAACTTACATGAAACGAACAGTAACCAAATTCTTTATTCATTACAAAAGCTTAAACCTCACCTTAATTGGCAGGTGACTGTAAAGTAAACTCCATTCTGAACTCTTCCCCAACAGGCACTGACAAATTCACCACCTCTAATATCATAAATCCATTCTTCCCTCCTTCAACTGCAAATTTCTCCCGTCTGTTAATCCCATTTGCCACTAATCGACATCCTTTGATCTTCCCGAAACAAGTCCTCAGCCCAAGAACCGTCACCTTACCAACGATCCACTTCTGTCCAAGGGCAAAATCGCCATTCAAAACCTTTGATTCAAGGATCAGTGTATATCCCACTAAACGGCTCTCAAATCTCACGAAACTCCATTTCCCTCCATTGCCCCCGACCTCTAAATCCTCACCGTTATCCAGAAAAAGCTCGCCCGAGCTATTTCCTTCATTGCTTACAACTACCAATAACTCAAACGGCGTTTTCCTAGCTGCCCGTGTCGTCATTGCCTCTCCTTGCTTGGGCAAAATGCTTCCTTCACGAACGTGCACGTTTATATGATCGGGAGGAGCATCGAGCTTTACATAGTTCCCTTTTTTTAAACTCAAAGAGGATGAATAATTAAATAGGTCGAACCAGTTTGCAGCCGGAAAATATGCGATTAAAGAAACTGCTCCAGGTTCCAGCACGGGCGAGACCATGACTCCCTTGCCGAGTAAAAACTGGGAGCTAATCTCGTAGGTTTTCGTGTCTTGGGGAAATGAGAAGAAAATCGGGCGAGCAATGGGCGTGCCCTTGGAGTGCGACTCGTACATTAACGTGTAAAAGTAGGGCAATAACCGGTAGCGAAGTCCCAACACTTTCCTTGCTGATTCGGCTACTGAATTCCAAATGTAGAGCTCTTGACGGATTGTGGTTTTTTCAGAGTGGTCTCTGGCAAATGGATAGAACGCGCCTAACTGCAAATACAAACCGTTAACAAAATTTAAAATCAGTATCCTTTAACTTGAAAGTGTGGACATTATTATAGAAATACCATTGAAGAAAAATTATAACAATAGTAATAATTGCAAATACCCCAGTGAGTAAGTTCTAAGAGTGTGATTGGATATGGATTTTGAAAAAAAAAAAATCAATCATTTTTAACTCAGTTAATTTTTTTTTTAAACTCGACTTTGACACAACCTCACTATCTTCAATATTATCAACCTAGTTAAATAATATCAAACAATCATTTTTATACATCACATCAACTTTAATTCACTATTCATCCACTCGTATAATTTTAACTATCACTTCATATCATCGCTCTCCTACTTTTGAATCAAATCAAATTTAATTATTTTATTCTAAATATTATTTAACATAAACTCAAAATTCCATTAACAACTAACCATCCAACTTTCTAAAAATTAACCATCGGTAATGGAAAAAACTCATTTTGAGAGGATTATTTGTAAACAAGCACGCATTACATTCACAGACCTGAATCCACCGTCTGCAGAGCTCCTCAGTTGTATTTCCCGAAAAGCCACATATATCAGCCCCTACCATCGGTATACCAAAAAG